AATTAATAAATAATTTATAATAAAAGAAATTTAAATAAACAAAAAATTTGTGAACGAATTCGAATATTTTAAATATTAATTGATTTTTTGTTTATGAATATAACTATAGTGGAAAAATAGAATTTAAAACTTATGTAATTATTTAATTCACAAAATTTTTAAATGTGAACACTAAATATAAATAAAAAAAAATTGCATATTCGGATTACAAATATACCGATATTTGGATTAAATTCAATAAAAATTTAATGGTAAGATTTGGTAAAAAAGAAATATGTATGAACTTGGTAAATTCACTGATTCGAGACCAGTCCGGCGGAGTAATCCTTTGCCACTATATCATCCAGATCTATGTTAGAAATGTTTGTGATTCTTTAAGAAAATCATTTTCTTTTATTTATTCCAAAATAAAGTTTTGTTTTACCAATTTAATTTGTTTAATGCAATAAACATATAAATTTTTTTTCAAATTAATAAAAGTTGAAATTTCAAATTTTATCAAATTCTTGCAAAACTTTTATGATCGTTTTACTTGTAATAATGTTTAATGGTAATTAATTATCGCAGCTATATGATCCTTTATGATGCCTGTCATCAGTAAATAATTAAAGGAAATAAGAATAATTAATTTAATTAGATCAATTAATATGCCGTTGGTTATAAATATAATTTAATTAAATAATAATCGTATTCAACTATGGTGAGGAAGAACTTTATGTTATATATTAATATTTTATTAACATTATAATGAATAATATTATTCAATCACAAATATTTAAAAAAATTAAATTACATGAAATAATGAAATTGTTCATATAATTTTAAATTATAAATAATATTTTTATAAAAGGCCAACAATTTTGTATTTTCATTTTTATATTTAAAGATTTATGAGGCATATGAAACACTTTAAAATCTTCTTATATACATCATGAATATTTTATAGAATACATATTAATTTTTGATTTAGTTAATTTTAATACAATATAAAAATAATTTAAAATTAATTTATTCCATTTATCTAATGTTTAGCTGGTAAAAATCTTAAGAAATTACGAAATCGAATTACAATTAAATAAAATTTCAATTTGATATTCCAATAAGTGAAATGAGAATGCAAATTTTTTTACACTAAAATATACAAGAGAAAATTTCAGAAAAATTTTATAGATAGGAATTTTATATTAACACATCCTGAAAAAGGCGGAAATATATTTTAATGGTTAACTCATATAGTAATACATTACTATTAAATTTTTATAAAAATCTATAATAATTTTGACAAAATTTTTCCTCATATGCAAAAAAATAGTTTTATTTTATGAAAAATGTAAAATTTCCAATCATATCATCAACAATTGCTATTGTCATCCGAATTATTTTCAAAATATTGAGGTCTATAAATTTTCTATATGTTTTTTCTAATTTAATTCAATTAATTTAAATATTATCGAATTTTATTTAGCAAAAAAACAAAAATTATCCGTCGCAATAATTTTAACAAATGCACGAAATTTTCCAAGTTTTCTTATTCTAATAATATTTTTTAATATTTAAATTTGAATTTGAAATATAAAACACATTCATATACGTTTCTTTATTGCCATATTGATTAATTATTCAATTGTTATTAATTATTATTGAATCCATTCTTATTTATAATCCCTAGTATACAATAATGCTTCGCTTAAATCTACCTTGGTATAAAGGAATTCGATATACATATATAATTCTCTAAATTTTTGAATACTCTTTCCTCATTCAAAGCAAATATATAATATACTCCCCTTAAAATTCATAATGAAGCAATATAAATGTTAAATATGGAGTAATATTATGTTATACCTAATAAGGTAAATAGAATAAAGTATAAATTCAGTAGAATGGAATTTAAAGATTTACATTCATTAAATTTTGAATTTTTTTTAGTTTAATTTACTATTAAAAACTTGTATAAGATCTCCAAATATCTTTATAATCTTGATTATTTTAAATTTTTTTAATTAATATTATAAGATTCCATTTTCTAAATAATTATTAAACTAACTACAGATAAAAATCATTATTTTTCAGTGAACTTGATAAGAAATTTATTTTATGTTTATATATGGGTATATATATAACTATGTATATAACTTATGCTACGTTCAAATATTAAGAATATGATACCGTTCTTTAACGACTGCTTTAATAAGCTCTACAAAGGGAGTCAATGTATATTTGCTCATATTTGCCGGAATTTATATAGCGCACTTGTGTGAGTATATACGAGTATATGGTATTTAAAGGAAAAATTTATCCAAGAATTTTATATTACTTATATGTATTAATACAAAAGTCCAAAATGGTATAATCTATACAATTCCAAAACTACGTTATATACAACAAAAAAGTATATATATAAAAATTTGTTAAAAAAATATTAAAACCTTCTTCTTTTCATATTAATTCTAGACTACCGAAAATATTTACAAATTAACAATCATTAAAAAATATTCACAATCTATATTCAATATATATAAATCGAAAGTTCAGTCCGACGTCTTATCCAGTAATTATAAGAGAACACATTTCGAGTAAATTCAAAGTTTGGGGTTAATTCTTGAAAAAATACTGTAATTAGGATACATACGTTGCATAATTGAATTTCCACAGAAAATGAGAATTCAAGATAGAAATAAAATTGCGACATACATAAGTATAGGACACTAACTCTGCCAAGGAATTTTCCCTTGTAAAACTAAACTTTTCAATCAATTAAAGCATACCCGTTATAGATTGTGTAATTATATAAAAAAAAATTATATTTTTTAAATTTTTTATCTTAAAAACAATAGGCTTAAATTCAAATTTCACATACTTATATAAAAACCAAAAATATAAATGAATACAACAGCAGCTGTGAAAAGCAATAAGGAATATAAAATAAATTAAGATATTTTCAATTTATTAAAATAAATTAAAAAAAAAAAGTAATTGAGACTTTTAAATACTTTATCAAATTACATTAACATTTTCATATTTATTAAAAAATAAAACTCAAACAAATTTAAATAATATATAAAAATGATGACCCCTTTCTCTTTTAGTTCAGTTCTTTCAACCTTCCAACATTTATAACATCTCTATACTTATATATGTACATATGAAAATCATTTAAATTCATATATGCATACGAAAATATAAACAAATATGGTTATACTTTATACTATACAATCAGAATACATTTACAATGCTAATTAAATTTTTATACAATCATAAATAAACTATAGAATATTGCACTTATATTATGATTATTTCTTTTAAAGTTTCAAATATAGAAAACTTAATGTTGCTCCATGTCTCTTCTTCTTTTTCTTATATTTTGTCATTATTATTATAATTCAAAAATTAAGATATTAAATTACCATAGTATTTACACTTTCTTGAAACAATTAACTTTATGGTTTTCAGATTTGAATAGATTTTGAATATGCATACTACTTACTGGTTACTTTTATGAAATAAAGAAGGATGATCCAGAAAATATAAGAATTTATTTGTATTTTATACGTACTTATAGGTAGGGTAAACGCATATTAGACTTATACCGTAAAATATTATGTTATTTTTTTCATAAATTCAATTTTTTTATTCAATTTTCAATTATTTTATTATAACATCGCTTGGTCAAATGTTTGCGATTTGCTAAAATTTTAAAAATTAACTCAAAAATTAATTACGAATGAGTTAAAGATTAAACGAATATTAGCTACGTTTTATATGAGATTTTGTTAAAATCACAATTTATATCACAAACTAACCAAATTGCTAGTATTTCTAAGTAATATAATCTCCTAGTTTTAGTAATAGAACACTTCTAAGTTATATAACCTCCTAATTTTATATGATAGATCAAATTTTCTAGTCTATATATGATAAAATAAATCAAAATCCTTGATAAAAATTTAAAAATCTTTTATAAAGTTTGAAATTATTCAATCAATATAAATTTTTTAAAATATAAAAAATTTAAGTGATTTTAATCTAAAGTTATTCTCTTGAAAAATGAGTTAAAATTTTCTTTAAAAAATACTTCGGATTCTTATTGCAGTCTCGCCCTTACGTACCGTTGAATTAAGAAAATGTTTAGACTTAAATATTAATAAATATCGGAAATTTCTAAAAAATTTCCAACATTTTCACAATAAGTCATAATTTAAATTCTTAAGCTATTGTATTTATTGGTTCTTTGGGCATTTGACAAAAAAATTTTATTGAATAAAATGTGTAGAAATTACTTAACCATTACTTATTATCTAACCTCCGTATTATGCAGTATATTATGAATATTATTAAAATATAACAATTAACATAAAATAATTTTAAAATTGAGTTACTATATAAAATGCATATTTAAATAACAATAACAATAATTATAATGACATTAATTGAAGCTAAAAGATCCAAGACATTGTTTTAGAAATAATTAAAGAGATTATATTGCATTTATATATACTCATATGTGCATTACATTTAAGATATAACTAGTGTATAAATCTTTTTTTGGAATTTTGCTTTTAGACTCAATAAAACTGACCATCACTATATAAACTTAACAAAATTTTTGAATTGTGGTTTTCTTTTTATAAGTATTAATTACAGATTATGTAGTCATTTAAAATTGTTTGGATTTTTTTATGAATTAAAAATCATGAACTATTTTAAACTGGCAATTTTTTGTACTCTCAAAAGCCTGTGTAAATTGTCCAATTGTTCAAGTTTCTCCGTTATGTTTATTAAAGTTACTATTATTCTTGATATGGTTGGATTATTTACTATTTTCAATTCAATCTTTTATTTAATACTATAATTTTTTATTACATTTTTTTTCGTTTTCCTTTTTTTTACAGGTTGCAACCTCTGCAAAACTATCCATAGTATCATAAAATTTGCCAACATCATTTTGTAAATTAGTTTTAATTTAATCGTCTTTGAATAATGACCTATTGATAAAAAAAATACATAATATATATACCATAATTAATATTAATTTTATTAAAAAAAGGAAAAATTTAAATAAAATATAAAACTATATAAAAAACAAAGTCAAAATAGGGAGAAAAATGTTACAACATCCATCCAAATACCATCCGAATCCTTTATCACATTTTTTAGCATTACAAAATCAGCATGTAGCCCATCAACAAGTAACACATCATTCTAATTATCATCATACAAGTTCACAATTACATCATTTAAATGCTGCTGTTAATAGTTCATTAGATGTTGGAAAATCTTTTACAATTGCTGCAATTTTAGGTTTACAAAAGAATGCAATTGAACAAAGACAAAATCAACATCATAATCCACATTCAATTAATCATCATCATCGTAACGATTTTAATAATGTTATGAATCTTTCATTAAATAGTCATAATTTACATACACATCAACAACAATTACAAATGCAAGCAGCAAATAATAATAACAATAATAATAACAGTAGTAATAATAATAATAATTTAGAAATTAATAATAATTTTTTAAATAATAACAATAACAATAATAATAACAATAGTTTAAAAAATAATTCAATCAATGTCAATACAACAAATAATAATAATGGTAGTAATAACAATAATTATGATAATTGTGATAACAATACTAATAATATTTCAAATCGTTATTTACAAAATTCAAATACAAATAATATAAATGGTAATAATTGTAATAACAATAATAGTAATAATAATAATATTAATAGTAACAATAATAATAATAATAATACATTAAGTCAAATAAGTGCAAATAATCATTTGAAATTTAATCATTTTGCTGCCGCCGTCGCTAATGCACCATCTGCATTACAAAGTTTACAACAATTACATCAACATCATGTTACAGCGGCAGCTGCAGCAGCTGCTGCAGTGGCAGCACAACAACAAACCACAAATTTAGGACTAGGAGGTCATTCAAGAGAAAAACATAAAAATGGTAAGTTCAACCATACGTTATTGTATGGTTCTTAAAATCTTAAAATTTCAAAGTTTCTTATATTAGAATAGTCATAATCTCTTTGAAAAGTAAGTCTGCTAAATTTCATATTTTTGGATTTATGAAATTATAAAATTGCTTATAATGTCGACAAAATAACATAGTCAAAACGATATATAGTTGAAAATTTTAAATACGCACTGCTAAGATCTATTTGTGTATAGCAGTTTTGTAAACAACCGCATAAACAAATTATTTCTGGTTCAGGTTTTGTTTATTGAACTTCATATATTACATTTCAGAAGAAACATTTACCGAATTTAACTTATTGTTCTTTATTTCTTCTTTATGTAGTTAATCATAAAATAGATTCATTCATTATCAAAAGATATTCAAGTAGAATTGAAACAGTAAATTTTGATTATGTCTCCAAACATAGTTATTATATATATTCTAGTGTAATTGTAATTTCAAGTAATCTTTAATCTCTAAATGTTTAAAGTCTATAAAATCATTAATGAATTGATTCATTGAATTTCTTCGTATGCACATATGTATATAGCTAATATACGAATTTTCTCGTTCTTATGATAATTATTAAAGCAGACATAAAATAGTATATAGCAGAGGCTTCTAAATTTTCAGTTTCTATGTATATTAACTATAAAACTATAAGAATCATTTTGCTAAATCATCGTATGTCTATTTGAATTGTGAATTTTCTAAAAATTACTCTCTACCGAACTTTATATGTACCATACATACATATAATATGTCTGAAAGAATTTAGTTACATTTAAATTCCAAAACTTTTCTGTTTTTGTTTCTATTTATCCTTTAAGGAGCTCATTAAGAAAAATAAACTTTCAAAGTTATTTTTTACAAATCAAATCAAAGAAAAAAAAAAAGAGTTCATTATCTAATCATCATCATAATCATCGGGTTGCTTTACATTTTGTACTATACTTATAATTTTCTCAATTTACAATCACAAAATTACAGAGAAATCGATCACTATTAATTCCTATATATGATTATTGTACAAACGTTAGACACAGTCTATTTAATACACATGCTCTTAGCTATACATAAAAGAGTTCCTTAATTATGTACTCAAAATTATCATATGCATATGTAAATGTGTTTACTATAAATGTGTTTCAATACTTTTGTCTTAGAAATGAATTTCAAAATTTCATAAATCATAATAATTAGAAATGATAAGTTAAAAATCAAAAGAATTTCATCCGTATCCTTTTAAATATTTCATGTTTCTGTTACTAAAAATAAAAAGAAAAATAAAGTGAAAAATTATTTTCTTATTCTATGTACAAAATGCATACCTACATATCCATACATATTTATATTCATTTAACATTTACAGATCATATAACATCTTCATCAACATCATCTTCAACAACAGTAGCAGCAGCATTAACAGGAACAACAATAGGTGGTCTTACATCAAAGAAATCATCTTTAAAGAGTAAACGTGTTCGTACTATTTTCACACCCGAACAATTAGAAAGACTTGAAGCTGAATTTGAAAGACAACAATATATGGTTGGACCCGAACGTTTATATTTAGCACATACATTACAATTAACTGAAGCTCAAGTAAAAGTATGGTTTCAAAATCGACGTATAAAATGGCGTAAACATCATTTAGAAATAAATCAACAACGTTTAGCTTTAATAAGACAAATGAATAATAATGATGATAATTGTTCAACTTCAATTGCAAATAATAATAGTAATAATAACAATACTAACAGCAACAATAATAATAACAATATCAATAACAATAGTAATAGCAATAATATATTACTAGCATGTAATAATAATTCGAATAACAGTACTAATAGTAATATATTACAATCAGCTTCAATTGCATCTGCAATTGATGTTGAACGTGATTTTAATAATGATAGTCCTATTATTAACTGTATCATATCGTCATCACCAAATAATGAAATTGCAAATATTGAATCTGATGATCCAGATTTATCGATATGTAATGATTCTTTAGATGCTGATGCTGAAAGTATTGATGCTGATGATTCATAAAATTCATTGTAAATGATGGCAATAATAAAAAATGAAAAATTTCATTAAATTGATTTTTTTTTTATAGTATCACTTAATATTTTAAATTTTTAAGTAAAATAATTATCTAAAAAACACACACATTCTTTTAATTTATTATATTTTTAAATGCACTGTCTGTGTAAATAAATAGATTACATACAAAATATTATAAGAATTATTGAAATATTCATTAAACAGGGGTGTACAAAAATTAAACTAGAAAACACGTTGTAAATATTAAATTATACAAAATAATTTTAAACAACTTAAATGTATTTCAATAAAAATATAGAATTAGTTTTAAAATAAAACATAAAATATAATTAAAATTGTTTTGATTGATTAGAATTTAAAATACTAGAACATTTGGTAATTTGCACAATAATATAAATTTCCGAACGTTATAAGACCAGAATAGTTCCATAGATTACGACTTGCAAATTATTATTTTATTTTATATTTAACTATGGAAGTAAGTTTAAATTTCTTGATTTCTTCAATTCATACTAAAAACTCAATTCTCATACTTCATTGTTTACTTACGTACCATCACGAAATATTTAGGTTTCAGACCATATCGATAATATAACACTTACATATTAGTAACATTTTGTATTATCAAAAATAAAATCTTGATAACTAAATGCAATAACACTGCATTGTGAATTATTATCATCCTCCTTAAAATTACCAGTCTACTTCCAATTTTCCGCAAGTCAAAGCAGCAGTTTTTAAAATCTATCCAGATTATTTTTCGTGTCCAATTTACTTTTCTTTACGTTTCTAAAACGAATTTTGTACAATTCAGAAGGCGTAATTTTATACAATTTTAAAATTTTTTGAATACCTGGCATTTTTTCTTTACAATACGAAATACTGCCATAGCTGAGTTTGTAAATTTAATCAAATCAACCTATTTTTAACTTTTCCGTTAAGAAATAAAATTTCAAAACAAGACTGTCAAGTGTCAATAGAACAGATTTTCCATCGCGCCATCTATTATTCATTTTTAAAAAACTCTAAAAATTGACAGTTCTGTTTAATACTTCCTACCGCTAGAGTTCATATTATATATTAAGCTGTCATTTCATAAGTACTTGGGCGAAATCTTGCGGAAAAATTTATAACAAAAAATTAAACATTAGAGAATTATTCAAAATACATATTATATAAATTTGTATATTAAATGTACAATAGATTATCAAAAAATCTATTGAGAAAAAGTCTTGATTTATAAGTCTATTTTTAGGGCTCGAGTCGAATTATTCATATGTAGAAAGAGCACTGTAACATTTGATGTGAAATATGTGCACACATTTAGTTTTATCATCGCATTGTGACATTATATTGGACATATTTTTTTATAACTTAATAACAAAATCAGCATAAATAAAACATTATTATGTTTTTTAATTTTTTTAATGCCACAAAAACTTTTGGTATTTTTTTAAAAAAAATGAATGACAATAAACTAAGCATGTTAAATATTCTTTACTTTTTGCCGAAATATGTCACTATATTGTGTCATTCAACTTGCCTCTCTTGTTACAACACTTTGACATTATTCACTATAAATTATTTTAATATGTTTGCGTGCTGCCAGTTTTATGAAAATTTTATTTGACGATTTGCTTTGTAAATATTATTGTCTCAAATTTTTTAAAGTTATTTTAATTTTTTTTTTTTGTAACTAAGTTCTTATTTTGAGTTATAGCTTTTAAGTAAAACATGCAACAACAGCCAACATCAATTCCACCTGGCCTTAAAACACTCATTGATCAGTGCCACAGAATTTATCCAGATCAGCCAAATCCATTGCAAGTGACGACGATTTTAAAATATTGGTTAGGTAAATAATAATAAAAACTAATTAAAACTTGAAGTTTTTAATGCATATTTTATGTAACTAGGAGGACAAGACCCTTTGGATTATATAAGCATGTACAATAATAGAGGAAATGTTGAAATGGGTATTTTACCACATTGGGTACAGCTTTGAAATTTCGAAAAGTAATTCCTACTTTCATTATTGATTTCTATTTTTTAGCACTATATCAGTTTCGGATTGTCAGATTTGCATGGTGATGGAAGAGTTCATGTACGAGAACAAAACTCGGAAACATCAGATTATCCGTTGTCTGGCATGGGGTTCGAACTAACATTTAGACTTCTTAAAAATCCAAACGATGAAAGACCACCAACATGGCCGGCAAATTTATTGCAAGCCTTAGCTAGATATTGTTTTCAAACAGGAAATCGTTTTTGTGTTGGAGATAATGTTCCATGGCGGAAACCTATAGATAATTCTACATCTTCATTAATACAGCATTTACTAATAGCAGAAGATCCTCAGCTTAATATGACAGAGACCCCTTTTGGTTCAGTACAGTTTTGTCAAATAGTTGGTGTTACTGAAGAGGAATTGGAGCAGGCATCACGTTGGAATGGAAAAGGAATTCTAAATTACTTAAAAAGGGACGTTACTACTGGCGGCGAATGGCTGATAACAAATGTATATAGAACACAAAGTTTGTTTGAGCTATTTCCCGAAACACTCCAACAATTACAAGATGATTTAGAGAAAGAAGGATCGGATTTAGCTGGTATAAACGCTGAGTTTACATTTAGAGAATTACACAAACAAAAATTTAAGACTGAAATTGATTCAGATGCTTTAAATGAACAGTGTCTATCTGATGAGAATAATAAATTTCCAGACACAAAAGAGATATGTTTAATGGATCTAAGTGTTACAAACGAAAGTTTCAGTTTTTTGCAGTCAATGTCAATCAGTAACTCTTTAGAAGATGCTTGCCCAGTTAATTTTCAACCACTAACAGCAAATGTAGTTCCTTTAGATGGTATAGAAATAACTTTAGCATTTTCAGCTGCAAAATATTTATTGGTAAGTTTAGCAAAATATTAGTGGAAAAGTACATACCATTTATATTGTAAAATTTGTTTTTAGCTATCAATAAAAGATAGAGTTCGACATGGTCGTCACTTTACGTTCAAAGCACAAAATCTTGCACTTACTATACTAGGTGAATCTGTAACTGGTGGTTCTGTAAATAAATCAAATCCATATGGTGTAATTGGATATTGGGTACAAATAATGATCACAGACGATTTGGTACCACGAATGATGGAGGCATTTCAAACCATTGATACAAGTAAAGAATTAACAGAAAGAAGAGAATTTGAATGGCCGGACAAAAACTTAAAAGTTATCATTGATAATCCTATACCATATAATACTCTAAAAAATAGTTCATAAGAATATATTTTTAATTTTTTTAAATTTTAAATTTATTGCATTTATGTATTCATTATTTTTAATACATATTCGAAAAGTAAGAGCTTCCATATTATATTAGTTAAGAATTTGATATTAAATTTATTTTTATAAAAACTAAAATGATTTTATTAAAAGAAATGAAATATAAAAATTTGTCGTTGCTTTTTTTTTTTTAAATTGACACTAATTTTTATTTATTTTATTTTATTTTAGGGTTTAAATATAAGTGGAGTCGAAGTGCATGCTCCAAGTTTTTCAAATTCTTAGAAACTGTCCAAAAGTTTCGCCCTATAATAAATGTAATTCGAGTACATCGTCTCAATAATTTGCTACAGATAATTTATTAGTAAAATTTTCTTTAGAAAAAATAAATTACAATATTTTCTAAGGAATATTCAATAAAAATAGTTAATAATAAAAGAATTTTTTTTTAAATAAAATTAAAATTTTATTTTTATTTAAAAATACACTTTTTGTATAAAATATTATATAAAATAAATATACGTATTTTAATCAGTAATTTCATGTGCCCTTAAAAAAATTTTTTTAAGATACAATTTATTTTTTCAATTAATTTTTTTTTTCGTTTTTTTTTTTATTTTTCTTATTTTAATTATCTTTCAATATAATGATATTTATATTGCAGGCAGTCCACAAAAATTTAAGTTTCTTTTACCAAATAAGAAAGAGCTATAAATTTATATTACAAACGTGCAAAAAAATGAATAACATTTCACCTAAAATTGTGATATATTCTTAAAATAATTAAGGATTATTTTTATATTTTTGATTAATTTTTATTAATGTATTTCTATTAAAACTTTCAGAAACGAAATATACATAATTGGATCTGAGTTCAATAATATTTTTCAGCTGATACAGTATTATTTTGTGCTTATGTACAAAAAAAAAATAAAGAAATTATATTTAATAAATATAGAGTCCTATTAAAATTAAAAGTAGCTAAGATTCTGTGCTCTACATTTTTGAAGTGATAATCTTAAAATTTTTGTTTGATATTTCTTGAACAAGATGAAAAACAATAATTATTAACTAATTGAAATTAATTGTCATTTTAAATTTTTTTTTTATTTTAAGAAAATATCACAATATTTAAATAATTATGGAATGAAAATGTTAAATAATTATGGGAAGATATAAAATTATTTAAAAGAATATGAACTTTTAACTTTTACTTTATTTAATATTTACATCAAAACAAAAATATAATATTTATGATGGAAACAAAAAAACTACAATATTATTTAAGACTTCCCTTAAATAAAATAAGAGAAATCGGCAAGCACCAATTGTATTAACACAGTGTTGTAAATTAATCCCGTATAAAATAAGTTTTGAAATTAATTGTGGTTTAAATGTTCCTGTTATAAAACAAAAACTCATATACAACTTAAAAATAAAAATACATTTCTTAAATTTTAGGACAAAAATTTAAATTTCAATATTTTCAATTTAAAAAAATTTAAAAGAATAATATTTAACTTATCAGTACAGTACAATAGAATAAATACAATAGAATAAAAGTATGAAATAAAATATTTTTTACATAAAATCCAATTTAAGAGCTCATTTTCAACGGAATTAATTTATTACAACTTTAGTAGCTTCTTCCATAAATTATAAAACAATAATTTAATTATAAAATGTTATTCTTTTTTCTTTAATTTCCATTACTCTTTTCTTTGATATATTAAATTTTTTTTTTATAAAATTCGTTTTTATGTATGTTTGTTTTTCAGTTTTTTTCAATATTAATTTTTAAATTAATTACATTTAATTCATAATACAAGATAATTTAAAATTAAATAATAAAATGTTTCGTCATTTGATTAAGAAACGCAGAAATATTAGCGGAAAACGAAAGCAGATTTTTTTTTTTAAAAACGTTTTTTCAATGTAAAACCAAATAATTTTTTAGAGCTTATATTCTTTCGAAAACAGAATTCAAAACCAAAAATCTAAAATCGCAAAATAGTTTTTTTGCCCATACTCAATTCATTTATTAGATAGATTGATTTGGGTATGAAAAGAGCTGTCTTGAAGACTTGCACTATAAATAAAAGCAAGGAACGAAACTTTTGTTTTTGATCAAAAATGAAAATTGAAGGAATCAAAATTTTGAATAACAGATAGCTTTAATTAAAACAAATTAAAATGAATTTGAATTCAGATTCAGAAAGGGTTTAAAAGGGTATATATGAGTTCGATTAGAAAATTGTCTTCAAACTTTTTCAAAATTAAAAAGTTAAAAATAAAATATACAAAAATGAATCAGTTATTATTTTCCCAATTTGATTTAATATTTTTGGTTTAGAATAATTTTCTAGAATATAAAATCTCTTCAAGAATCATAGACCCGTAAAGCTTTAATTTAAGCTTCATTACATACAAATTAAGCAATGTTGAATATTTCAAATAGCTTATAATTAGTTTTTAATGAAAAATTTGCCTATTGCCTGAATTCTATATATTAAAATAGAATTTGTATAAGCCAATTCGTGAAACGATCAAGTTTATTTAATTTTAAATTGTTTTTTTTTTTTTTTCTTGTGTAATTAGGCTTACTGATTGCTAACGGATCTTATTGTCCAAAAAAATTTTTTCAATAAAATTAGATTCTACTGTATTTCTGTCTTAAATTCTTTTGATTTAAATGTATAAAATTTTTTACATTAATTTTTTGTTCGATCTAATTTTTTAACTTTTTTTTTTTTTGTTTTCTTAATACTAACTTGCTTAATTTTTGTTTGTTTTTTAATTTTATTTACTATTTAATAAAAATAGTATAAAAACTGACTACAAGATTATTTTTAATGCTTTTACTTGCATTTTCTGTTTTATTAAATTATCAATTAAATAATTATTATTAATCATTACTTGTTTTTAATCTACAATTACTTACAAAATGAAAAACATATATTTTTTCTTTAATGAGAACTTAAAACTTAATCGGATGGCTTAACAAGACCCATAACCTTACCTTCGAATAATGGTAGAATATCTGAGTCATTAACAATTTCTTCCTGAATAACCGGACTATCGGGATCTTCACAGTGAGTCTTAAAAAAAAACCTAAAAATATAATTTAAAATAAATGTTGGTTCAAAAAATTTTAATTTTGAGTTCATTTGTGATGCTTTCAAAACATTTAAATGCGTAAATATTAACATTTTTTTAAAATTAAATTTCAATTCGAAAATACATATGTAAATATTTTCGTGAAACTTAAAATTTATGCAATTCAACAATTTTACGATTATTTTGTTTACTATTTGAAAACATGTTCTTAAACTGATAAACTAACACACCTAAAATTGCCTTTTTTAGGTAAGTAATCTTTAAATTGTTTTAACGTTGGTTGAGTACCAGGAATTTTCGTCCTATATGGAAATTCTTCATCACAAAAAGAAAATACAACCGTTGTGGTCTCATGTGATTTTGCTGGTAAAGGAGGTGGTATTTGTTGCTGTTGATGTAATTGATGCAAACTACTACTTCCACTACTACTGCTACTCATTGATTGTTGTTGTTGTGATATTGTTGGGAGTAAACTACTACTACTGCTACTAAATAATTGTTGTTGTTGCTGCGTTTGCTGTTGTTGTTGTTGTGGTTGTGGGTAACGACGAGATCTTCTAGTCTCGTCTTCCAGTCTTCTTTTTGCCTCTTCAAGTTGAAAGGCTGTACTTGAACCAGGTCTTGAACTATTTTAAAAAAATTGTTTAAGTTATTTAAAATATTTATGAAATGAAGAGATGATATTCTTATACGAAAATGTTTTTTTTTTGTTTCTTTTCTATAAATATTTACCTGGTATCTTTGTACTTCATAAGAGTATCCGCTGAAAATAAACTAATTCCACTATCTGTATTCGTTGAAGGCCATTTATTAGTAAGCTTCTTCAACGAGGAACTATGTTCAGGCATTGATTTTGAATGTCGCATTGAATGCCCCCCTAAAAACAGAACAAAATTCATATTATATTTTTATAATGTACTGAAAAATAAAAAATTACCTGTACTCATAGCACAATCACTTAACATCCCAGAATCTTGTGTAGTAGTCCGCCTTCTTGACGGTAATGGGGGACATGGCGATACTGTACCAGGTGATCTGTGCGGTGTTAAGTCTTTCCAAACACGTGAAACATGTTGATCTAATATATCCTGATCATTATCCTCTTCTAAAGCTAATTTTTGTCGTATAACTTCAGCTAATTCTCTATCACTAGCGAAACCAGTTAATGTTGAGTCATCCGAAAAACGCTAAAAAAATTAAAACAAAAAATATTTATATTTTTATATATGGAGAAAACATTTAATTTGAAGAAAAATATATATGTATTTATATTTTTTACCTCACTTCGTGCTCTCTCTTCAATATCTTGTTTTCTTTTCACCTCTTCTAATTTTGGTATTAATAAGGCAATTAATTCTTCTTCTTTAAGTGGCCTATGCTCATTTGAATGTAATCTTTGTGTTCTAGGAATAACCTGAAATATAAAATATTTTCAAATTTAATGTTAAATTTTAATTTCATTAAAAATATTTTTAACCTGTAGTGGATTTGTTTCTTTATTAACTAAAGCACTTTGCCGAATCGCTTTACTTTCTGATGTATTATGCCTTCTCGAAACAAATGGCCGTCCATCACTGTTTGTTAAATAAAACAAAAATAAATAAAATTGTAATGAATAGATTTATTTAAATAACTTATTTATCGACAAGTTCAAACCAACACTGTAAAAAAAATTGATTTTTAAAATAAAATTTAAAAAAAAAAATTATGTGAACATAACAAAAAACTAAAATAAAAGAAAATAAAACAAAAAAAAATTAAAAAACTTACATTGAACAACTTGATAAAGACATTGTATCAGAATCAGTTCTTCCGCCAGAACTAACACTAGCACGTTCTGAATCAATTCGTGAACACGGATTATATGAAATTGTTTGTGGATTTGCTTTAAATATATAACCATGGGCTCTGCATGCAGGATTTTTATTTGTTTATGTTGTAAAAAGGATTTGTAAATTGGGAAGATTTGATTTTTATAGGACAATTTGGAAACGGGAATGTTATTAAGTGAATTGTGTAACAATGGATGTTATGAACATGCAATTAAATAATAAAAATTAAAATAAAAAAACATTCAGCAAAGTAAATTGAATTTTTTTTTTTGAAGCACACAAAATTAATAAATATGAAATACAAAATACACAATTTATTAAAATAAATTAATAATAATAAGAATGTAGGATGATTGTGCAAATGAGGCGGAAATCGTGACAAAGGAAATTTGCAATATAAAAAAAAAAGAAAAGAATAAAAAAATGTATTTAATTGAAAATTAAAGAAAATAAAAATTAAATTATTAAATTATACTTAATTAAAAATTAAAAAAAAAAAACAAATTATTTACAAATACTAATAATATGTATTTATATATTTCAAACAAATCTTTAATTTTTTGACTAACTTTCAGCTTAAGGTACAATTAGAATTTTATTTTGTCGAAAAATTGAATAATGCAAAAAGTTATTATCTTGTTATTTGAATTGAGAACTTCAAATAACTTGGATTTATTTTATCCATTAAAGTAACAAAATCATGTAGAATAATAGGAGACAGACCTCTGTTGATTGATGACATGAGTTTAGTTCTTTGAAGAAGGAACGTATATATAATTAATAAGAGATTTAATTACAAAATACGATAAATATTCTTTAATTGTTATATTAAATTTAAAATAATTAACATATGACAAACATATTTATAAACCAAAGAAATTATGTATGTGATTTGTTTACTTTTGATAAGGTTAAGTTAAACAAAACCAACAAAACTTTATTGAAAATTGAATTAAAATATTGAAAATTTTTAATTATGAAGCAAATTATAAATAATTTGTGATCTAAGTTAAGAAATAATTTCAAAGAACATTTCAGTTTTAGCAATTGTTTTAGAAGATTGAATATCAAATTCTTAAATATGTGTTTTTTTAACAGCAGTGTTATATCCTTAACTTATATTTATTTTTCTTTAAAAAAAACAATGACCAAAAAGAAAAAGAGCTTTAAACCTGTACTAGCAAAGAAGATATAGATGTGCAAATTATATATGCATGTATAATGAGTAAATATTTTATATAATTAAACGCATTAATATTTTGAAGCGACAAAAAGGCATCATTTACAAAAAAAAAAAAAATTAATTTATTAGAAAAACCAGTTGCCGCTTGCAGTAAAGAAAATGTGAAAATTTTTGCATCTTTATCATTTATAATATAAAATTTTGTACGCACCTTTTAAAAAAAAAGTAACAAAAATTTATGTTTGATACTAGCATAAAAATTAATAAGAAAAAAAATATTCTCTAAAATCTATCTCTAACTTAAAAGAAAAAAAAAAACTTATAAAATTAAAATTAATTTTCTAAAATATACATAATTAAAAATAAAAATTTACCCTGGTGGCCTAATTTCTAAACGTCGTTTTTGTGTAGCCAATAATAAATCTCTAGTTAATCTTAATGGCATATCAGCAGCACCGCTACTATTATTACTACCACCTGGAATCGTTCCACTAGTACCAGCAACACTACCACTTGTAATACCACTACCACCGCCACCGCCACCACCAACACTACGACTACTTATTTCTGTACAAATTCTTATTGTTTCAAAATCTTCTGACATTGATAATTCAGTATCTTCATGTAATGTTGGTAATGTTGAACTACGTGGTAATGTATCTGTTGCACTAATTGAACCACTCGAACTAGCTGATGTTGATGGTCCATAAAATCCACCAGATGGTAATATACCACCTCCACCACTTGTACTAATACCACTACTTGTTGTTGCAGCACCAATTGCTGCCGCAACAGTATGTGTTGGTGACATTGTTGATACTATATTACTAATAGTTGTTAATATTGATACACTTGGATTTGTTGTTACAATACCAGCAGCAACATTACTACCACTACCACAACTTATACTAGCTACGCTACTTGCACCAGAACTACCGCTTCCAGTTGTTGTTCCACCACCACCACCTCCACTTCCGCTAAATGTTCTTTCCTGTTGTATTGCGGACATTCTTTGCACATAATTACAATACATATCAGAACATATAAAATTTGGATAAATTTTCTCTCGTATAACATCTTCGACATTATACTGTAGAGAATCATATATATTTGGGCTAAGTTGAATTTCATTTTTTAAGCCAGCTTTTATTGTACGTCTAAGGTCTTCCGAAACATGTAATGTACTTTTACGAAGAAATCTAAAATAAAAATAGAAAATAATGTTTTGTATTCGTTTTTTCTGGTTTCCTTTTGAAAATATGTATGTGTAAGAAAGTTTAATATTTACAATAATTTTGAATACCTATAAATTGCTCCTATAATTTGTTTGACTTTTTCAGGATCGGATTGTTGTTTAAGACCCTCACAAGCAAAGTAAAAATTTAAATAATCATTATACATTGGGGTTTCCTCCTCCACATATTTTTTAAATAATTCAACCCCATCTCTATCTTCTAGTAAATGATTTAATGTACGAGCCCAATTTAAATAAGATGGTGGTGAATTCCTTGAAGATTCCGGAACCCCTTCGGTCATCTTTGTAAAAATTAAAATTAAAAAAAGTTTATTAATTAATATTTTTTCTGTTTACTCTTTATCCTATTATTGTTTTCAATAATTAAATTACCTTCTTAGATCGGCATTCTTCCCCAGGTACTGGTGGTCTTGGCCCGCTGCACTCATTATCATCAATTTTTTTACTTTTAGGAGTATGGCTCATGCCCTGATTATTCAATTTATTTTGTATTTATTTTTAGCCTTCTGTTTTTTTTTTTTTTGAGTATGTTACGTATATTTGTGTTTGTAATTATGTAATTATTTTAAATAAATATTGCTTATTAATTTTTTTTTTCTACTTTTTAATTTTTAATTTTATTATTATTATTATTGTTATTATATGCGTTTTTATATAATTATTATGTTTGAATTAATAATTACTTTCGTTATCAATTTATGCTTTTATTCAATTAAGACGGATTACTTATTATATAACGAAAATAAAAGAAATAAAAAGTTTTTAATTTTTTTCTTTTTTAATTTAATAAATTTTGTTCCGAATGGTTAATAAATTGAACAATAGAAATAATTAAAGGGTTTAATTAAATAATTTTTTTATAAATATTTTTGTCTGTTTTTTTTTCTTTTTTATTTTTTGAATAACAATAATTGGTCAATATTTTTTTTTATTTATTTTTTAAATTAAAAACTATATTTAATGTATAGAATCAATTAATTACAATTGAAAACAAAATGAGGGTGTAGAGATGATCACATAAAGAATTTTTTTTATTATTTTTTATCAATTCGTTTAATTTTTTTTTTGATTTTTATTTTAAGAAAAATTACAACAATTATTAATAATATATCGAATATTAATACTATTATTTTTTTTTAAATGGGATTAAATTTAATTATTAATAAATTTAAAAAAAAATTTTTTCTTTTTTGTTTTTATTTGAATTAATAATAACGTTTTATTTTACAAAAATAACACGGTTACAAATTTATTATTAAAAAGGCAATCATACACAAGGCCTGTAAATAAATAAAAAAAAAAGAAGTTAATTATATTTTTTATTTTAATATAATATATTTATATATATTATTTTATTTTTGAAATTAATAAAATTAAAAAAAAAATTTATTGAAAGCAATGTTAAGACGAGGAAATTAATTGTAATACTGCACCAAAAAACAAGAATATACTACAAGCATACCACTAGGTATCCATTCTTCTTCTCAACAAAGAAAAAAATATTAAAACTGGCATGAGAGTGGCAATTACAGCTCGTTCATAAAAATGAGTTGAACTTGCAAATCAGTTTAGAAGCATTTATGTAAATTATGAGAATATGTCGAAATAAAATGTCTAGCTACGGTGAGACATATTAGATTTGTACTTATTTCAAACGAGAAAGTGTTGCCATATGCGTATAGCATTATATAAATAATAATAACATTATATAATGTTAGAATTTCATTTGAGGTGATATCCAACATCTAAGTGATTATCCAACATCTTTGCAAAAATGAGTTATTATGTTCAATAGAGCTGTAATGGCCTAAAGAATTGTTCCATATTTTCAAAATACCTAGTTTACTTCTCTTTTCACTCTATTTTGATATTAAGTTCGTTTTTGCATTTTAAAAATTTTTGTTAAAAATGAAATATTTAAATATTTCAATCGTAAACTACTCGAACTGTCAATTTTTGCAAGTAGGTCATTTTTTTAATTTTCATTTTACTCACTTATACATCACTTTCAAAAATTCAATAATTTTTTGATTAAGGCTTTATTTTTCTTAAGAAAGAGTTTTTTTTCTGGTTTAAGCTCAAACAATATCCAAATATTTATCGGCAAGTTTTGTATTTCTTTTAGTTGGAATGATTTCTCATAAAATATTAGATTCTAATGATTTAAGCGCGTTAATTTAAAATAATTGTAATTTATTAATTAAAAGCTAGTCCAAAACTCGAGGTTTCTATATTTGTTTTATAAAACTATTTGCTATACTTGGAAAATATTTTTTATGTGTTAATTTCATTCAAAATCAAAATTTTTGACAATAAATTTATTGAGTTCTTATAAAACAATTTATTTTTTTTTTAATTTTTATATTATCATTTAATAATTCGTTGGTAAGTTTATAAGCATTAAAAATATTTCATAGCTTGCAATAAAAAAAGTATAATAATGAACTGCAGACAAAGTGAATAATTTTATTATCCTTTTTTCAAAAAAAATTAATTGAGAAACTTCAAAGAATGGCGAGAAAATGATAAAATTTTAATATCTATGTAATTATACATACATATGTAAAACATATGTACATATGTATACATAATATACCGAATGATAATTTTAAATGACCTTGATTATAAAGGAGAACAAGTACAATAGAAAAAACACACTCTTATTTCCAAAAATAGTGAAATTCGTAAAATATATAAAAGCTAGTATTAAAAATAAGGACCATTTCTTTTAATGTATATGTACATAAACACACGTATAACAGAGTTTTAATAATAAATATTATAAAATTTATTTCTTATTAAGAATTTTATATGACTTCCTTTTAAAAGTTTTTGAATAAAAAGCATTTTAATTTTTTAATAATAAATTATACTCTTTGTTATTGTACTCTAAAACTTTAACAGTACAACCAAATATTATGAAACAAATTGTTTGCTTTCATATTTTCATATTGCTTTTTTATCTAAAAGAATAATAAAATCATAAGAATTTGATTTTAATTTTGCGCGTAAAAGAATTTTGAATTTTAATAAATTAATTTAATTTGAAAACTTATTTAAAAATTAATAAAAATAAGAAGGCCCATCTTCTTTGCTCATCTCCAGTTTTGTCGGGGAACAGGTGATGGGTTATTTTTCTTCTTACGGAAAACAGACCTGGCGAATGTAAATGCCAGTGACCTTAGCCAGTTTTTGAAAAGCTCGAACTGGTTCTTCTGAGGACGGGGAATGCGGCGGTATCAAATCTAGTCGTTCCGGTTTACGTTTACATTACGGTAGGTGAGTCGACCTAACCTAACCTAACAGTAAAACTAAACAATCAAATTTGAAGACTGAATTGGTAATCAAAGTGGTTTTGAAATGTTTTCAGCGTGAAGAAATAAAAATTAGAAAAATTAATAAATAAAATTAAAATAAAAAAAAAAAATTATTAACAAAAAGTTAAACAAGATTAATTTCTAAGAATTTAAAATTTGCAAAAATATGTATGAAACAAGTTTTCAACCAAAGTTTGGCAATTTACTCCGATATAACCTCGACTTTTAAAACAAAATCAGAATATTACAAATGCATTTATATGTATATATATATATATATATATATAATTCCTGATTCCAATTCCGAATTATATACATATAATTCACTGTTTCCATTTTAAGATGTACAGTTAATTCCATTGTAATAAAACTTTTTAATTAAGTTCACCCTACAGCGTAACTCACCCTAAAATAAAAACCGTATAACCTTAACAATACGCATACGTTTCCATTTTTTTTTTTAATTTTCTTTACTTCTAGTTTTGTCATATTCAACAATTCATCCTTTCTCATTTTAACCTCTAACACAGAAATAAAATCAAGGCAATAAACAAAAAAAAAAAAAATTAGAAGAAAAAAATTACATAAGATAATTTTGGTGTTCTTCCTTCAAGGAAAGTCCTTATAAAAATTTCACTATTCCTTTTTATTATACTATTCCTTCCTTTTTTGAACAAACAAAACGAAAAAAGCAAAAAAAAATAAAACAAAAAATCTTTATCATCATTGTCGTTGTCATTGAACACTAAAATTTTAATGATATGGATGGGTATATAAAATACATGGTACTTGCTGCCATTTTGAAAGATTATTTGTGATTGGTCGATTCAATCGACCAATGTTTAAATACACACAACAACACATATCGTAAACAAAGTACACAAAAAAAAAAAAGAATTAAAAATAGGAAAAAAAGAGAACAAAATTTTGTTTTTGTAATAAAAAAAAAATAATACAAAATTCCCAAAAATCCTTTCTGTTTTTTTCTCTCTTTGAACACAACAATAAAGAATGAATGGTAAATTATCCTTCAACCGACTTATGACTAACATCAGAAATAAATCAAATACACAAAAAAAAAATTAAAAAAAAAAACAAAGGATAAAGGATAACATACATATAAAATGGTTTGAGGCAAAATTACAACAAAAACAATAAAAAATAAAATAAGTAAAAAACAAAAACATAAACAAAAAAGGATGCCGCGCGGAAGTTTTTATTATTTTTTCTTCTTCATGTCGTTTTTATGTTTTCCTTTTATTTTTGTTTTCTTTTTTTGATCACAAAAGATGAGAAAAAGCAGGACAATTTTTCATCTTTCATCATTTCTCTATGTTTGATAAAAATAAAAGGAATAAAGTATATAACAGTTTATGTATATATAAATATGTGCATTTATAACACTTAAGAGAAAAAAAAAATCACAAAACAAAATGCTCTTAAAAACACAAAAAAATGAAAACGAAAACTTTATCTCCAAAGTTGAAAGCAATACAAAGAAATTTTATTTGATGTTCTTTTATTTTTGTTTTGTTTTTTACTATTTATGCTTTTTTTTTCCCTGTGTATATTTCGTTACATATAAAACAAAAAGGATAACTGATGATGATAAAAAAAAAGGGCTTTAAGTGAAATATATATAGAAAAAATACAAACGACTAAAATGAGTGAGGGCTTAGTAATTTGTATTTGTTTTTTGGTTTTTCATTTTTATTTTTTCTTTTACAACCGCATTATATAAGTACAATAAGGGAGGCAATGTGATGGCAGCAAATTTCGTATGTCGACTATTCGTTGGAAATATACATTCCTTCATGCTGCAGGAACATAAATAAGCTATTTTTGAAAAATTTCTGTCTGTCTCAATTTGAGATAACAGCTGACTTTACTTTGAGCCAGGTCGCAGAAGAGAACTTTAAATAAGCGTCGATTTCACAGTTTTGATCGTTAATAAGAAAATATTAAACAGATTTTTTTGAGATGAATTTTATGACATAAGCTCAGCGTCTAAAAAAATAACAAACCTTCGAAAATATAACAACTTTTCGAAGAAATCAGGTGTAGCAAATGGAGTTTTATTATAGGCCGAATTTACATTTTTGATCAATGACAAATCAGGTTATTAAAAAAATGAATCCGTAAATTTTTTTAGGAATGTCAAGCAAGATGCTCGAAAACAACTCTTTACTAAGATCCTATTTTAAATTTTTTGCAACGTTTAAACACCTAAATCAATGGAATTTTTTGCTATTTAATATTTCGGTTCTGATTGTTAAGAAAATTAACTATATTTATAACACTTTCACAACATTGTAACACTTTAATAATGCATTCGGTTATGTGCTGGCCACATTAGATTTTTTTTTTGTTAAGATAACTTTTATGCGATATTTAGGTTGAAAA